CATCCCGGTCCAACCCCAGCTCTCCAGCTGCCTCCACAGCCTCCTGTGACTTAGGAGGGTGTTTGGGGGGCAGTAAGAGGGTCCCCTTGCCATGTCCTCTTCCCAGCAGGGCAGCACGCAATCCCGGGGGTACAGTACCCAGCTCCCCATGCCCTCCCCCCCGCACCATCTCCGAGGTGGAGCCCGACCCCCCCACACACACCCCATAGCCAAGGCTGCACAGCTCTGCCCCTTGCCCAGGAGGAGAGTGGGCATTTTTTTGTTTTTAAAGCACAGCCCTTTGGGGGCGAGGAGATCACTGGGAACCAGATTCCCACAGAGGCTGACAGTGTCCTCTGTCTCCAGAGAGCCATCGGCCAGAACCCCTTCCCCTCTCAAGAAATTTCATTTGCACAACTGGGTGCCTTGTAAGCTTTTGTGTACTGAAGCGGGAATTTTGGAAGCAGGGGTCCCACCTGAGCCTCTGAGACCTCTGTCTAGTTCCTTTTGCCCCCAGGGGCTATAAACCTGGGAGGGGCACCAGGGTCCTTGAGGCCCCCAGGGTGAGGGCTGGCACCAGGAAGGGGCGGGTCTAGGCTGGTCCCCCTAACCCTGTCCCACGGCCTCGTCAGGTTGTTCCTCAGACTTGCACGTAGGTTCAGGAAGCGGGTGTGACTCAGGGCTGAGCTCTGAGGGACCTAGGACACCATCCAGTTTAGATGCCCCCTCACCTCCCACATCATAGCCAAGTGAAACCAGGCTGAGACTCGCCCACTTGCCCTGGGTTCGGACAACCCCTTTGTGGCCGTGCCCCTCCTCGCGCCCCTCCCCCCACCCAGCCTTACTCCACACCAAGCGACAATCATTTTGTACCGACAGCGGGAACAGCCCTGTGAGGTTTTGTACATCGGTGATTTGTTACCTACAATACCCACTGTGTCTCCGGACTTCTGGCATATTAATAATAAAAGAGCCTCTGCTTTGTAAGTGTGGCTGCTGCCTCGTGATGTCTGCCAGGTGCCACTCCTGGCTTCTGGTATCGTGGGGGATGCAGGGAGGCCCCATCCATGGCCGTTCCTGACCCCGGCTCAGCCCCATCCCTAGATGTGCCCAGAAGCCAACATATCAGGCCCAAGAGCCCTGGACCAACCACACATCACCTGGCCCAGGAAAGGAAGAACTGGTTAGAGGCAGCTGTGTGTTATTTTCTGTATACTTGAAATATTTACTAACGATTTCATTGGAAAAAAGACGGCTGAATCCCTCTACTGCCGGCATAAGGCAATGGGGCAAATTCCTCGGTTGGCAGAGGGTGCTGGGGGCGGGGGTGGGGAACCATGGCCCTCCCTGGAGTTCGCAGGCGTCGGAACCCCAGCCCAGGGCTCCCCCTGAGGTAGGTTACCTCCCGTTTGCAGCTGGGAAAACCCAAGGTGCAGGGCACAGAGCTTGCCCACAGCCGGGGAGGTCCCAGAGGTCAGGTCTGTGGCAGCCATGAAGGGGGCCAGTGCCACGGGCTGACAGTTTGGAGCGACTGCGTTTAATAAAATATATTTCCGTGAAAATTTCACCTGTTTCTTTGGACTTTATTAACATGGTGACTAGAAAACTCAAAATTAGTTATGTGCCACATTCCGTTTCTGTTGGACGGTGCAGGTCTAGGACTCAGCCCATTACGGCCTGAGGCACACCAGGCCAAGCACCCTGCCCATGGGGGTCCCAGTTGCCATGACTCCCTAAACCTGGTTTTTGCAGCATTTGCACCCTGAGGAGATGATGAAGGCAGGCACCAGGGGACACCAACGGGGAGGGGCCTGGGGCTCTGTAGCTGCCTCCGGCCCTGAACACTGCGAGTCTTCCCACAGCAGCCCCGAAGGCACCCAGGCATCCCCTTCACCCCAGCCTTGGAGAGGCCCTGCAGATAATTTAAGACGTCTCCTTTCTTCTGCTTGGGACTGTCCACCCAGTGAGCCCAGTGTCCAAAGCCCCAGGAAGGAGGCTTAGCTTTCCTCCCTGCACACAGCAGCGCCCGGGACCTCTAGCAAAGCGCCCGGCCCCATCCCGCCCACAGCGCGCTCCCCGCCGCGTGCGCCCGCGCGGGTGCGGGCTCCACGGAAAGCGCCTCCGTCTTCCATCCTCTTCCATCACCTCCATCTTCCAGCTCCCCGCCTGCGGGGACACCTCCCGGCCACCAGGTGGACCCGGACACATGGCTTCACTCACACACTTTTCAAGTGAATCACCCCAAATTCGGTGAGCAGGGCCACGGCGAGGAAGCTCGCGTAGAAGAGCAGCAGGCAGAAGCCGTAGGTCCTGTTCAGCTGGAAGCACTGCAGCGGGACCGAGACCAGGGAGCAGACGAGGCTGAGGCCCAGGGCGCCGGCCAGGACCCACACCAGCAGTCCGTCGGGCTCCAGCTGGGGACGGAGAGGACAAGGGAGAGGCCCGGTCACTGCAGCCAACAGCCCAACTGACGCTGGAGGGGCCGGCCAAGGCCTGCCCTGTGGGCTGCCCCACGTTCACCCCCAATTTTTTTTTCTTTTTAATCTCACCCAAGGATATTTTTCCCATTGGTTTTCAGAGAGGGTGGAAGGGGGAGACAGAGAGAAACATCGATTAGTTGCCTCCCACACCCCCCCCCGACCGGGGCTGGGTGTCGAACCTGCAACTGAGTGAAGTGCCCTAGGCCAGAATCGAACCCGGGACCCTTCAGTCCGTGGGCGGACGCTCTAACCCCTTAGCCAAACCCGCTAGGGTGACCCTCGATGTTTTAAGGCACCTGGTGTGGGCTAATTTGTCAGGGCAGCCCTAGGAAACTAATACAATATGTTAGATATACATTACATGAATTTGTTGAAAAATTCTGGAGCAAAACAGACAAGTACAAGGAAGTGAAACTGTCCCCACCCCACATCTCTTCCTTCTCGACTTAGCGCGTATCTGACACTCACAGCCTCGCACCTTCCCAGCCACCCCTAAGGGAGCGTCCTCGCCAATCCACAGCCGAGGAAACTGAGGAATCAGGAGGTGACAGAGCCCCAACAGAAGTCCCGGCTCTTAACCAATACCCTGTCCTGCCTCCCCAGAGTGACACGTAGACATAGGTGTGGGTATGTGCACATAGGTGTGGGCACGCAAACATATAGACGTGTACGTCACCCTGGCCAGAGTGGCTCAGTGGTTAGAGTGTCAACCGGACACCAAAGGGTCGTGGGCTTGATTTCCGGTCAAGGGCACTACCTGGGTTGCAGTTCGCTGCCCACCCGGGTCAGGGCGAGTGCTGGAGGCAACGAGGGCAGCCAGTCACGTGTCTCTCTCACATCTATGTTCCCTCCTCTCCCTCTCCCCCCTCCCTTCCACTCTCCTCTCTCTGAAAAGCAATAGAAAAATATCCTCAGGTCAGGATTAACAAAACGAAATAAAAAAATAAGCTCTGTACATTAAATCTGAGAGCCGGGTTCAAGCAATTAGCGAGGGGTGAGAGCAACCTGTATTCCGCACCCAGCAGCACTCCGCGGGCTTCCCTCCCCGGTGACCTTCGCGGCGCCTGCCGTCTAATTAACAGCAGGAGCACTTTTCCTAAACTCAGCACAGGTGGTGGACCGCCGGGATGCGCATGCGCAGCGCACTCTCTCCACAGGGGGCCCACCCCAAGGCCCTATTATCTGGAACTGCCCGAGAATCGATAAAGAAAGGAATCTTTAAACCCAGGAAGAGTATAAGCAAAATTAGCAGAGCGTGTTTACTTTCGAGAAAGGCAAACTTTTCAAGCAGGAGTAAGGAAGGAGCTATTTGCTTCTGGGCGAGGCCACCGGGAGAGGCTGGCCCTCCTGCCAGCTAATTGCAAGGGAGCCCCAAGACCCAGAGGCGAGGAGGAAGGTGGCGGACTTTGTTCCCCTCAGTCCCACCACCTCGCCGCCTGGGGCATTCCCGGTGCTTTCACAAGCTGAGCCCTAAAGCCATCCCCTAGGCCACAGCCCCTCCTCAGCTTAATCTTTCCCTCGTTTGGTCTCTGAATTCATGTCCTTCGGGATAGAGATGCTGGGATGGGGGGTGCAAACGTACTCCCGTTTGCCGGGGGTGCCGTTTGCCCTGTGCAATATTTTAAAGTAACAAAAGTTCACCCTAGGAACCTCTATTTCTTCTCTAGAAAATCTGGACGACCTGGCCCCATGAGGCTCCTGAATCGCCCGGCATTTCCATTACCTGCCTGGCTGGTTTGGATTCCTGGCCAAGGGCGAGTATCTGGGTTGCAGGTTCGATCTCCAGCCCCTGTAGGGGCACGTGCTGGAGGCAACCAATCGATGTGTCTCTCACACTGATGTTTCTCTCTCTCTCCCCCTTCCGGTCTCTCTCGGAAAAAAAAATCAATGGAAAAAAATATCCTCAGGTGAGAATAAAAATAAAAATGCTAATTTCCAGCCACCACCCCCTGGAATGCCTGGGTCAAGGGCTCTCTTGTGCCCCTAGGAAATTCTCAGATGCTTTCAAAGTGTGAGACCTTTGCCCCTCAATGTGTTACAGAACCTTCTCCACATCTGCTGGACTCCCCCTTCTAGGGCTGCCTTCAACAGATGGCATCTTCACTCTGCCCTTAGGCCCATCCTGTGTGGGCAGCGTTGGGGTCGTGTTCAGCTGGCCCTTACCTCATGTGTGCTTACCCAGGAAGCCTGGGGCGGAGTCATCAACCCCGTTTCACAGGTGAGGAAACTGAGGCTCAGAGATGTCCTAACTTATTCAGTCACATAGCAAGAGACTTAACTGATGGGACTGACGCCCGAATCCAGGGACTTCCTGCCCCTTCCCTCAAAGCTACATCTTACTGCTCTGAGAATTTGGAAGGAATACGTTTTGTTTTTCTTCAGCCCTACATGTAAAATATTAAAGATGTTTTACACAGCAGACTCGTCACACATTTAGGCAAGTGCTCTCCCAGGAAGTCTGAAGTGCTCGGGTGTGACTGGCCTCCAGGAGGAAGGAGGAGAGAGCGGCTGGCCACTCACCTTCACCTCGGGGTGGCCCCTGGAGATCTGGAGCAGGCAGCCCAGCCCCACTCCCACCAGGACATCTGCAGCCCGGCTCAGGAAATTTGCTGGAACCACCACCCTATGACCCCAACCACAGGGCCCATTGGCATTTTTTATGATCTACCCCCCACCCCAGTCCCCCAAACCCTGAGAGTCCCCGGCCAGTTTTAGCGCCTCTAAGAAGGTGAGTGTCCAATGGGAATCTGTACTCAATCTATAAGGATCGGGCACCCCAAGAAGGATACTGAAAATGATGCCGCCAAAACAGGCGGAGAACGCCATGCGCGGGTAGCCCTGGCGGGCCAGCGTGAAGTCAGAGAAGACATCTGCGTGGAAGCGAGAGAAGGCCTTGAGCGGCGAGTGGCCGCCCCCGGGCCTCCTTCTGCACCCCTGCCTTCTTACCCACACTCATTCAGTCAACAAACACGAGCAAATGCCCCGGGGTCTGGCACCAGCTGGGAGGCTGCTATGAGAGGCCACAGTGTCCCGTAAGACACGATCCCTCCTGAATTCCTTTACCCCACTCTTTCTCAGCAGAGGGGGCTTTGTGGTGTGACATGCCACCACCACGGGTCCGTCTGCGGCGGGCACATACGGAATCTCCATGCAAATTAGGAAAAGGTGAGTGAGAGGGGAGCTGGACTGTGGCCCCGGCGCCTTCTCTGGATGCTCTCGTGTCATACACAACCTGGTCAAGCCGACTGGGCCGCTGTGGCTAGCGAGGAATTACGTACGTATGTGTGAATGCCTACACGTGTCACACACCCATGCACACATCCTGCCTGAACTGTGGGGCGCCAGGGAGAGTCCATGCACCAGAGAGGGGAGCAGGGCTGAGCTTCTACAGAATCTCCTGGCTCAGGGGCAGTCCCAATGCCCAGCGATGGTCACTTTCAAAAGGTCAGTGGGGCCCTGGCTGGTGTGGCTCAGTTGGTTGAGCGTCAGTCCGTGTACCAAGAGGTGACCAGTTCGACTCCAGGTCAGGGCACATGCCCGGGCTGTGTGCTCGATCCCCAGTAGGGGGCATGCAGGAGGCAGCTGATCGATGGTTCTCACTCACCCTGTCTCGCTCTCCCTCTCCCTTCCTCTCTCTAAAATCAATAAAAACATATTTTTAAAAATTTAAAAAAGGTCAGTGGGCACTAAGCACACGCTGAGGGAAGTACCCTGGATGTCTCTGCCCACATGCCATTCTGGCTGGGGGAGCAAAGGGCCGGGATGTGGCTGGGCTCATTCCAAGCGCCCGACCCAGCCCTGAGTCACCTCCGATGCTGTTCCCCCAGGCCAGCAGCGTGAGTCCCAGGACAGTGTTGCTCAGCTGGAAGACCACGCCCAGGGACCGCAAGATGTTCACCACCTCGGTGGCGGCTGCGTTGATCCACAGGGCGCTGGTCAGGAAGCCCAAGACGGCAAAGATCTGGGGAGGGAACAGCGTGAGGATGGGACCCAGGCCGGTCCCCAACAGGGACACGGTCTCAGTTCCTCGTCTGTAAATGGGGTGATAACAGTACCAATCTCATGAGGTTGTCATGAGCATAAAATGAGTTAACAGATGCCAAGAAATTAGAGCCGAGCACATAGTAAGTAACAGTCACCCCATCCCCCCAAGCTTTACCCCAGCATTAGACATGCCATACAAATGGCCTCATTGATTTATACAATATGTGGTCCTTTGTGACCATGTGTTCACCTAGCACAATGTTTGCAAGGTGCATCCCTGTGGAAGCATGTGTCAGGACTTCAAACTCGTAAGAAACACTGGTAGGAAACTACTTCTCTAAATGATCAACGTGCTAGAAATTTGATCTCCTTTGGGTTGGTACATCAATTCAGTGTTTCTAAAAATAAAACCCACAATTTTTTATCAATAAAAAATTGAAGTGTAACAATGAAAATGTAAAAAATAAAAATCTTAAGTTTTTGAAGCGAAAGTCTTTGGACAAACTGCCTAAATATTCCTTTGAGTGCTACCGGGTAAACATAATGGAAACAGACACCCTCAAAGACCAAGCAATTCCATCACTGGCATGAGATCGTTAGGGACCCAGAAGCAGCTTGGCTGGTGTAGTGGAAAAGAGCCTGGAAGGTTTTCGAGAAGATCAACACACCGTTACCATTTGACCCAGCAATTCTGCTCCTAAAAATACACCCAACAGAAACGAAAGCCTATGTCCACACAAAAAATGTTTTACAGATATTCATGGCAGCACTATTCATAATATCTCCAAAGTTGAAACAACCCAAATGTCCATCAACAGATGAATGGATACACAAAATGTGCTATAGCCATATGGTGGAATATTACTCGGCTATGAAAAAGAACTGCTTACTAATATATGCTACAATGTGGATATACTTTGAAAACATTTTGCTAATAAGTGAAAGAATCCAGCCACAAAAGACCACATATCATAGGATTTCATTTATATAAAATGTCCAGAACAGGCAAATCTGCAGAGACAAAAAGCAGATGGGCAGTGGCCAGTGGATGGAGGAAGAGGGGCGACAGGGTGTGACTGCTGGATACGGGTTTTCTTTCTGGGGTGATGAAAATGCTCTAAAATTCACAGTGGTGATGATTGTGCAACTCTGAATATACAGTTGACCCTTGAATAAGACAGGGGTTAGGGGCGCTTGACCCCGTGCAGTCGAAAATCCGTGTATAACTACAGCCAGCCCTCTGCATCCACGGATTCCCAACTGTGGATCAAGAATACAGTTGACCCTTGAATGACACGGATGTGAACTGTGTGGGTCCACTTATAAGTTCAAGGGTCAACTGTATTAAAAAAATCACTGAATTGTACATTACAAATGGGTGAATTCCATGGTACTGGAATTACATCTCAAAAAAATAAAGCTGTTACCAAAAAAAAAAAGAGAGAGAGGACCTAGAGTAGGTTCAATAACCCTCAAAAGTGACTTTAAAAACCTGTCATTGCAGAAAGTGATTACTGGCCTAACTACCCCAGAGGCGCAGACAGGACATCTGTCTGGAAGACCTTGGTGTCCCCTCTCCCAGCCTGGAGACCCCAGGATTCTTACCCAGTGAAGCCTGGGGGGCTCGCTGTTAGATGTGGCAAAAAAGGTCACTGCAGCGAAACCTGTGCCCACAATCACCACTATGCCCCAGACAGGAAAGAGGCCACCAATCTCATAGACACCATCTGCAGAGGGATGAGAAAGGAAGCTGCTACTCCCCACGGCTCCAACTTGGCACCTCCTCCTGGAGGCCCCCGCAGAATGACGAAGGAGGTCTTGGAGTGAGACTCATGACTACAGGAGCCTGGGATCCCTTATGGCACAAGCATATATTAAGTGCCTGCTGGATGTCCAGGATTCTGCCACTGGCCTTGGGCTCCTGGTGGTTGAGAAGAAAACTCAGGAAGGTGGGGAGGAGGGACGTGGGCTGGCCTGGGGGAGGGGATACTCACAGGCCCCCGACTGCAGGGTCAGGACTAGGACCAGGGGGCTGATGACCAGGTGCAGGCAGTTGAGGGGGCGTTTCCAGTTTCTGTCCTCCTTGTCAGGGTCCACGAGGGGGACAGTGAGGAGCAGCAGGAACTCCACGGGCAGCTGGCAAGTTGGAGAAGGCGGGAAGTTGTCACCAGGGAGACCTGCGCCTGGGCTGGCTGCGCCCGGAGCTTGGTTTCTCACGAGCGTGACTATCGTTGACTGTATTAGGCTCCTACTGCTGCTGCCGTGACACTGATGGCCTCAGACCACATGGATCTGTCCCCCCCTGGCTCTGGAGGACAGAAGCTCTAAACGCAGGGTGTCGGCAGGGCTCGTTCCTTCTGGAGGCTGGAGGAATCAGTTTCCTTGTCTTCCCAGCTCCCAGGGGCCGCCTGCGTTCCTTGGCCCCATGTCACTCTAAGCTGTGCTCCTGGGGTCAAATCTCCTGAGTCTGACCCTCTGCCTCCTTCTTTCCCTATGGAGACCCTTCTGGTGACATTGGGTCCCTCTAGATAATCTGGGATAATCTTCCTACCTCAAGATCCTTCGTCACATCTGCCACATAAGGTAACATGGGGACCAGGACAGGTTATCTCATCCCGAGAGGGTCTCAGCAGAGACCTCCCTCCCCCTCGCCGAGTTAGAGAAGGTTGAGTGGCCACTGGAGCCCAGCTCCAGGGTCCCCCCTCCTACCTTGAGCACCTTAAGGGCCCTCCAGTGCACTGGCTTGCTCTTCCATTTCCTGCAATCCAGGGGGCTGAGGGCCTGGACCAGGATCTGCGCCGTGCTCTCCTGGTCGAAAAGCAGCGGCTGGTACTCTTGCCCTGGGTGGACAGGCAGGGAGGGGCAGGGGTCGGGCTGGCTCAGCCTCCAGGAAAGCCTCACCCTTCCCACCAGTGCTCCCAACCCCTGGGAGAAAACCCCCAGTGCCTGGCAGGGGCGGGCGCACCTGGCCCACAGCTCAGCCGAGGTGCAGTGAGAGGTGAGGCTGGTTTACACCCTATTCCTGGGGTCCGGAAGCTCTCCACCTGCAACCCAGCCCTGCTACTCCCACCCAGCTGGGCGCAGGCCCCGGACTCACTATAGTCGTAGCTGTTGGTAGTGGATGACACCCGATCCTCCTCTTCGGAATCCGAGAGCATCTCTGTTGGAGAAAGGGGTGTGTCCCCGGAGCCCGCCAGAGCCCACCCCCTCCCCACCCCCATTCCAGGACAGGGCCCCTCTGGGCAGCTTGTAGGGTGCAAGGGGCCAGACCCTCTGCATTTTGGATTTCTCAGCCATCACCATGCACAATGCATGCCAAGGAATTCTTACAGGGTGAGAAAGTCAAACTCCAGAACTTTTTTTTTTTTAATCCTTGCCCGAGGATATTTTTCCCATTGCTTTCCAGAGAGAGTGGAAGGGGGAGAGAAGGAGGGAGTGAGCAAAACATGAATGTGAGAGACGCACCAACTGGTTGCCTCCCACACGTGCCCTGACCGGGGCCAGGGATCGAACCTGCAACCCAGGTACGTGCCCTTGACCAGAATCGAACCTGAGACCCGTCAGACCACGGGCTGACGCTCTAACCACTGAGCCAAACCGACCAGGGCTCACAGAGCATTTTCAAATGCGATGTAACCAGTAACATGGACAAAGCAAGCGAGGGCGAGGCTCCCCCAGCAAGAGCACAAGGTGGCACTTCAGGAGAACGAGTGGTAGAAGCACAAAGAGCTGGGCGATGGCAGAAGCCTCCCGAGACATAAGGCAGCAGGGAAGGGTGCAGGGTGACAGCCTCCGCCGGGCCGCTCCTGGGGGATCGACACCGGCCCTCACCTGGCGTGGTCGGCATGGAGTAGACCAGGGATCGCCGCCGCTGCCACTGGTAGACCCAGGTGCAGACAACCACGGTGAGCACGTAGAATACGTACAGGCCCAGATAACCTACAGGTGAGGGTGCCTGCTGTCACCAAGAGGCGTCCCGCTGCAGGGCCAGGCGATAAGGGCTGCCGGGGCTGCTGCTGGTGCCGGCTCGCGGTGCCTGTGTGTCCACCCAGCCCACTATCAGGAGTAAAATGGCCATTTCCCAGAGCCTCTGCCCCCATCCCCTGCTTTCCTTCACCCAATCTCCCTTTCTGTCCTCCTGGCACCCTAACAAATCAGCAATCAAGACATAACGCATGACCCACGCAGTAGCCTCCAGAACCCCATGCGGGCGCTAAGCGTTGGTATCCTGCTCTGCGCCCCGGGAGCTGAGCCCGCAGACGGCAGCCCTGAGCTCTGCTGCCCGGATGTCAGCCATGGGAGGCCTGGCAGCAAATAAGAAGGCAGTGGGAGAGAGTCCGGGCTGTTTCTTCCCTGCTCCCTGCCTGCCGCGGTGCCCTGGCTCTAGCAGGGCCTGTGACCCTCCGTGACTGCTGCTCATGCCGGGTGGCACCAGCTGTGGGCCTCTGGCTCTCACGAGGCTCCAGCCACCCCATTCCCCGTCCCTTCGGGAATGGAGGAAACGGCTCCCACTCTGGCAGGTCCCTGGATGCCTGTGCACCTCAGAGCACCTTGTTGGTTTCCTTAACCCTCTGCAAACTGTCCCTCCATCCATGTCACCTGAACCATCGGAATGGAAGGTGTACGCTGCTGGTAAAAGCCACAGTTAGCATCCTGGCTCCGCTGCTTGTTAACATTTGAAATTATGCAAATTCTAAGCATTGCCCCTGGTTCTGTCCTGCCCCCTTTGGTCACCCCAACCATATGTTCCCTTTATGACTCAAGCTGGCTCCAGTAGGGTCTCTGCCACTTGGAACCAAAGGAGCCCTGTGCCCTGCTGGCCACCCCCACCTGTTCCCCTGTGCCTCCCCCATCAGTCCTGGGACGACCCCTCCCGGGCCCTCTGGCTGCTCACCCAGGGCCCATGGCAGCGTGACCCGGCCGAGGTAGAGTGCAGTGAAGGTCAGAAACACAGCCACCATATAGAAGATGATGTCTCTGAGGAAGGGCCTGGAGGCAGCCGTGAAGGGGCGCAGGATGGCGATGCCACCCGCCACCACAGTGGTCACCAGCACGCCTGCGCCTGGAGGAGGGGACACCAAGCTCAGCCCACCCTGCCCCTCCTCCTGCTGCCCTGCCACCCACAGTCAGGGCCGCTCGTACCAAACAGCGCCCCGAAGGCCAGGCCGGCTGTGTGTGGGTCCGAGAAAGCCACCAAGGCGCTGAAGATATCAGGCGCACCGTTCCCGAACGCCAGGAAGGTGACACCATGGAGCAGCACGTCAAGGGGCGGTCAGTGCAGAGGCCCCAGCCTGCCCAGGCCTTTCCTGGGCCATGTGCTGCCATCTCGTGTCCCAGCTGCCCCCCCCTCCCCCCCCCGGGTGCAGGATCCCAGTGAAAGGATACTGCCACATTGTGGGAAAGCCTGAGCGTGGTGGAAATAGCTGACAAATTAGGGCAGAAACTGCGGAGAGAAAGCAAACGGTGAGGACACCACAGTGAGGGCCCCCCTGCTCCCACCCTTCCCTCCAACCTGGGGTCACCCAAATGTCAACCTCCCAAGACCCCATCTGCCCATCTAGAAGCCGGATGGGAACCCAAGGCCAAACTCACAACTTCTCCGCAGTGACTCCCAGAATCAGAAACAGGTAAAGCAGCCAACAAGCCTGGGTGGGGGCCGGAGAGGGAGGGAGCGTTAAGGCCAGGCTGGGTCACCAGGCCTGCCCACCAGCTCCCCGAGGCAGGGGCTCACGTAGAGGGTGATGGCCAGAGGGAGGAGGCTGGGGGGGAAGTGGCAGAAGATGCCATCCAGGTAGTCCAGGTAGCCGCCCCCGCTGCGGCAGTCAGGGTTGGTCCGGATGAAGTCACAGCGGTCAGAAGCGTTCAGGGCACACACATGACGACACTGCAGGAAGGAAAGGAGGGGGGTACCTCAGGGGCCAGTGCTCTACCACTGAGCCACACCGGCCACGCCTCGGTGTGTTTTTAACAGCAGCATGGTATTTCATTCTCAGAGATAACATTTCCCTACTGGTGGCACTTGGGTGCGACTGATTTTCCAATAGCACCAACAATGAACATCCTTGCACGTGACTCAGAGCACACATTAGTCAGAGAGAATTCTAGAAGTGAAAGTGCGGAGTCAGAGCAGATCCAGGCAGGGTTCCTCCAGAGGCAACCAGAGACAAGGAGCCGTGGGCAGACCCCACCGCAGGCCGCTCCGCAGACACCGCGCTCTCAGGGGCCGAAGGTCCGCGGCAACCGGCGCCCAGCTAGTCCAGCAGCGCAGTTTCCCCCAGCGGCATGTGCTCACCCCGTGTCTCCGTGTCACCTTTAGGTAATTCTTGCACTATTTCAAAGTTTTTCATTAACACTGGAGAGTGCAGTACAAAGTTAACTTCTATGTGCACCGAGAAGCCAAAACATTCACGTGACTCGCTTTCCTGCGGAGGGGTAAGCATCTCGAACACAGGGCTTTTGCCAAAACGCCCTCCCCAAAGCTGGACTGACACCCACCCCACCAGAAATGGGAAGTGGGTGCAGCTACACGCTGGCCGCCAAGATCTAGTTCAGGCCAAGGTGGCAGAAACCTTCTGGTTCAGTTTCAAGCCCCCGATTACTAGTGGAGTCAAGTGCTCTTTTCGCGTGTTAATGGCCATTTGCATCCCTTCTTTGAACGGCTGGTTTTTTCAATGGGAATGTTTGTTTTCTCTCACTGGCTTGGAGTAGCTCTCTGTCTAATGGACTTTAGTCCATTGTCAGGATCTTGCCATTCATTTGCTTAGGCAAATGCCCTTGGCCTTGTGGGGGAGAGAAACGAGGTTCTAAGGAAAGGACCCTTCCAGGGTGATCAGGTCCTAAATTCCTAGCTGGGCGGGTCATGGTGGGCAGTCAGCCTCAGGCACATGACTCCTTGGATGGAGGGTGGTGATGGCTGCCCAACAGTGTGAATGCATTTGATGCGCTGAGCTCTCCATGTAAAAATGGTGAAGATGGTGAATTTCAGGTTATGTGTATTTTACCATAAATTTTTAAAAAAGCTTTGCCAATCACAGTTCCACCTCCTCCACAAGCCCTCTCTGAACTCCTACCAACACCAAACTGGAAGCGAGATTTCTTGCATCCGACCCTCTGGCCCTCTCCCCTGGTTCTCTGCTGATTCTGCCCGGTACCCGACTCCTTTCCCCCCAGTTAATCCACATCTTAGTTCCCAGGATGCCTTCCCTGACCACCCCCAGTCTAGGTCAGATGCCCACTATAAGCTCTCACCACCCCAGGACTTTGAAATCCCCCATAGGATTACAGACTATGTTTAATATCTGCCTCCCCACCAAAGTCTCGCGCAGTGCCGGGCACACAGTAGGTCCTCATAACTGTTCTGCCACATGCTGTGCTGGGCACCATCTCACTCAATCTCCATAACAGACCTAGGAGGTTGATACAGTTGTTTCCACTTCACAGATGAGAAAACTGAGGCCGTCCCCGACAGCCCCCCAGCTCGTTCCATCACATCCTGTTCTGTTTTCTATTTCCTCCCGCCAAGTGAAATTATCCTGTGGGTTTGTGAACTTACTTCTCATTTGTGTCCCCCCACTAGAGAAAAGCTCCATGAGGGCAGGGACCATGTCTATCTGCTCCCTCCTCTACCTCCAGCGTGTGGCACATTTCACGGCACATAGTAGGTGCTCAATCAATATTTGTTGAATGGATGACTACTCAGAAAGGATCTAGGTGAGGAGCAGATGGTCTTTCCCAGCCTGCAGGCTCCCTGGAGGCAGCTCTTCCTGGGAGGTGGCAGACTACAGGGCAAGGGTGTGCATTCAGCTTGAGGCGGCCACGAGTTCAAACCCTGATCCTGACCCTTCCCTTGCAGCCAGCTTCTCCCCCCTGAACCTCAGTGTCATCTACAGCACAGATATAATCAGACCCATTTCTCGGGGCCTGGGGGAGGGTTTGGTGAGCCTGGCACTGTGCTCGGTAACTCAGAGATAATCTTGCACAAACTACAGTTAACCTCTGCTTTCCTGCCCCCCAACGAGCACACCCCAAGAGGCATCGGTCAGTTTTATAAACCCAGTAACCACAAACCACTTGCCCATCTGTAAACTGGCGCAATTACCTGCTCTACTGCCTCAGAGGGTGGCATGAGAGCACTGCAGCCCCACAAAGCTGGTGTGGGCGCTAGGCACCCTGAGGCCGTTGGTACAGGTGGGGAGGAACGTTATTTCATTCTCTCGCTGAGGCAAATACAAGGCAGAACTCCAGCCCCTGCAGCGGGAGGGGACCCCGGGGGCATCTTGAGCAGTCCCCTGCCTTCAGTCATTCACTCCAGATCCACTGCAACCTCTCCTCCCCTTACAGGCCTCAGGATGAAATGAGGCAAGCTCTCAGTGGCCCACACCCTCCTCGCCTTGACAGGAGGCCCGGTTGCTCCTCTCCCGAGGGACCCCATTGCTTCTTGCTTAGTGCATCCAAGTCAACGCCGCTACCATCCCCGCAGTGGCTGAGGCCAGGAATCGGAAGCCATCCTTGAGTCCGCTTTCTCCCACCACCACGCCCCTCCATCTAGTCCATCAGTATATCCCACTCACTGTGCCTCTAACATGTATCCCAAATCTTACTACTTCTTTCCTCCCTCCCAGGCCCACCATCGCTCACCTGGATAGCTGCAGGAGCCTCCCCACTGATCCTCTTGCTGCCCCTCTCACCCCTCTCAGCCCCATTCTCCCCGGAGAAGCCGGAGAGATCCCTTGCAGAAATAAATCTGATTTCAACATCCCTCTGCTTAAAACCCTCCATTGGCTCTCCACTATCATAAAACAAATCTAACCTCCTTGCCTCAGCATGTAAGGCCTTTTATAATCTGTCCACCACTACCTCTCCATCCTTATTTGCTAACTCTCTTCCCCTTACTTACTCTGTTCCAGCCATTCTGGCTTCCCCACTGCCAACAGGTACACACTAAGGTTGTTCTTGCACGAGGGCTTTTGCATTTGCTATTTTCTTCTGCCTGGAATGCTCTACCCCAGATATCTGTACAAGCGGCTTCTTTCCTTCATTCAGGGCTTAGCCCAAAGGTCACTTCCTCATAGAAACCATCTGTGACCACCCAATCTGAAACAGTTGTAAATGTACCCTCCCCCTTACAACCCCACTGCCCCAATTTTGATTCATCCTATTATTTGCAGCATCTGACCACCTGAACTTGGCTTGTTTACTTCTTTAACTGACTTCCCAGGAGACTGTTAGCTCCGCTAGGGCACGGATTTTTGTCTCATATTGTTCCCTGGTACATCCCAGGGATCGGCTTAGTGCCTGGCACATAGTAGGAGCTCAACAAATATTTGCTGACTGGATGTATACACCCCCACCTGATACCAGCTTCCCATCTGGATACTCACGTCTACCACGGGGGTCTGGTTCACACCTGAGGCTGGAAACAGGGGGCTGGTGTGGGCCCCTGCAGATGGGCTGCTGGCCCCGGCCCCGGACACAGTCTCCACCATCAGCAGCACCCAGAGCAGATCCAGTCGCCTGCCGGCCATCAGCCCCCAGGGGGCCTGGCCTTCACTCTTTGCTTCCCTTCTGTGTGTTTCACTCCCAAATGGCTGGCAGCTCCAGCCGCCTACTGGTTGGTGGTGAGAAGGAGGGACAGTGTCACTCAAGATCCCAAGACCCAGCAGGAAGGGCCTGAAAACTTTTCAGTTGAGGAACTGCCCTTCCCCTCCCCCCACCAAAGGAAAACCAATGCAGAAACTGACATTCTGGATGGAGGTTGCTGGAGGGACCCAGGCCACTCACCCACCGGGCTCATTCAGCAAACAGATCAGATATGCCCTTCTTCCTGTGTCCGCAGTAATGTCTCCATGGAAACCTATGACCCTCCCGGCCAAAATCAGATTACGGAGGCTGGAAGGGACTAACCCGAGATTCAGAATCCTGAGGTTGCTGCCTCCAGGGGCCCCTGGGCTAGATAAATACAGGAAGTGGGCTGTGGTGAGGCCGCTGCAAGTCCTCAGAACAAAGAAGACATATTTTTGGGAATGGACCTGGCTTCTAGGCCACCAGTTGGAGACTTACTAAGCAATGCTGTTGTTCTATGTCTTACGATGAGTCAAGCACTTATCACTGCTGACCTCATTTAATCCCCACAACTCGCCTAGAGGGAGCACTGCTATTGCTCCCATCCTACAGATGAGCAAGCTGGGGCACAGAGCCAGGCGGGTGCCTCACAGCCACAGCACCTTGCCTCCCTCATCCAGTTCTCAGACCAATTCCGAAGAGGTTACTGTGCCCGCCCCTTTTACAGAGGAGGGAGCTGGGCTGGGAGGAGTTCCTTAATCTGCCTGAGGTCACACAGCTAGGAGGTCACTAAGCCCGGCCCAGAGGGAAGTGAATGGCTCAGTCACACAACCTGTTAACAGATCTCCACTGACTCTGCCTTTTCCCTCAACACCAGGGCAAAAAACGACTCCACTTTTCTTCCAAAGAAATCACACTGGAAAAAAAAAAATCTTTGGCACACCCATTTTCTACTTTTGGCTCCTCCACACGTCTGTAGACGAGCAGGTTTTATTTTTGCCCTCAAGAAAAACACAGCCCAGAAAACAACGTTGTAGTTTTTTTGTAACCCTTTGCACAGACCTTTCTCTACGTCCCGGCTGGGGCAGGAGGAGCGAAAAGGCG